GAAAATCCAGGGCGCGGGGGGGCGGCGGGGCACGAGGTCGGCGCCATTGACTACCTACCAAACCACCCCAACCCAACCCGAAGACCCGAATTTCGGGTTGGGGGGGGTACGGGTTTCATGTGTGTTTTCTCAACGTTCCCCGACCCCCCCCCCAACTGGAAATGGAGGACAAGTTGGGGCCTTCGGGTTGGGTTGGGGTGGTTTGGTGGGCGGTGGGCCATGGCCTGCCAGAGCTCGGCCTCGCCTGGGCAGCCGGGGCGCCGGCTGCGCCACGAGGGCCCCCCGCGGCATGCTCGACGGCAGACCTGGTAGGGGGGCCACGTGCGAGCCCTACCCCTACCCCCCACGATTTCTGAGGGGAGGGGTGGGGTTCACTTCGCTCGGGAACTCCCGAAGGAAGTGAATCCCACCCTCCCCCTCGGAAATCGTGGGGGGTAGGGGTAGGGTTCGCATGTGGCCCCCCTACCTGGGCCCCCCGGGCTCCGGTCGCGGCTCCGGGCAGCTGCGCGGCGTCGGCGGGGAGCACTGCCGCGGAACGCCCCCAGCGGGCGACAGGCGCCGCCCGCGAGGACATCGCCCCCCGCCGCGACGGACGCGGGGAAGGCAACGGGAGCACCCAGCGGATGGCTCGCCGCAACGGCGTCGGAGGGAAACTCGCATGGATCGAAAAGAGAAGCGCGCCAGGAGAGGCACGGGGGCCAAGCGGCCGCCAAGAGAGCCCACGCAGAGCCGGCGCCCGAAATACATCAACCCGGCCGTCGCGCCCAAAGGGGGCGCCGCCGATACTCCGCTCCGACGCCCTGGGCCCGTCCAAGGCCAAGGGGCGCCACGGGCTGTGCCGCATACGCAAACGCAGAAGAAATAGGAGGGCGCGTCAGTCTCACGCTCCGAGGGCGGCCTGGGCGGCGTCTGCCTACCCGAGGGCCAAGCAAACGGGGGGAGCGCCCAATGGGTCGCGCATGCCTCAACTGCTGCGCGAAGAACAAAGAAGTTGGCCGAGTACCACAGAGCACGTGGGCAGGAAAAGCGCGCCCAGAGGGCATCGCGACACCGCGTGGCGGCCGCGCGGCAGGCTACGATGGAACGCGCAGAATCTCGGCAAAGATTCTGGAGGTCGGAAAGGGGTGTGGCATAAAGGGGGTGTGGTGCCGATCGTGGAAATGGCGATGTTATCTACGATAGATAACCTCGCCAGACCCAGCATTGGCACCACACCCCCTTACACCACACCCCTTTCCTACCTCCAGAAAGATGCGCGAGGGCCTTCTCGACCCCCGCTGCCCGGGCAGCGCGCGCATGAAAACCTCGCGGCGCCACGCCATCCTCGGTGAAGCGGGCCAGCGCCGGCTCGTGCGAAGAGGGCCGGGGCGCAGTCGGCCATGGTTCTCGTCGCCTGGAGGAGGAGGAGGAGGGGGAGGAGGAGGAGGAGGAGGAGGAGGAGGAGGAGGAGGAGGAGGGAAGGCGGAGGAGGAGGAGGAGGAGGAGAGGAGGGAGGAGGAGGAGGAGGCAGGAGGAGGAGGAGGAGGAGGAGGGGAGGAGGAGGGGGAGGGAGGAGGGAGGAGGAGGGAGGAGGGAGGGAGGAGGAGGAGGAGGGAGGGGAGGGAGGAGGAGGAGGAGGAGGAGGAGGAGGAGGAGGAGGAGTAGGAGGGAGGAGGAGGCGGAGGGGAGGAGGAGGAGGGAGGGAGGGCGGGGGGACCTGAGGAAGGGAAGGAGGAGGGAGAGAGGAGGGAGGAGGAGGAGGAGGGGAGGAGAGGAGGGAGGAGGGAGGAGGGGAGGAGGAGGAGAGGAGGAGGAGGAGGAGGAGGAGGAGGAGGAGGAGGAGGATGGTTTCTGGGCCACGTGGCCCGGGAAATTCCCCCGGCGGCGAGCCAGAGCGTTGCGTTGCGCGGCGGCGTGGGCCCCGCGAGCTGCAGGCTGCACTCACTGGGCCCTCCGCTTGTGGAAGGATGCAGAGTGCAGGAGGAGGAGGAGGAGGAGGAGGAAGAAGAACAAGAAGAAGAAGAAGAAGAAGAAGAAGAAGAGGAGGAGGAGGAGGAGGAGGAGGAGGAGGGGTTTGCAAAAGCGCCCAGTCTGCGAAGTTCTTGCTTGCTCCAGGGAAATGCACCTTAGCGGCTTGCTTCCCACGCAAGCGTCGAGCATCCGCAGCTTCTTCCAATCACCCAGCGTAGAGTGGGACCGCACCGCTGCCAGAACCTCAGGCTCAGCCGTGGCTGCGCCCCGTCGGCGGGAGAGCTCCGCTCTGACCTTCCCGTCGCTGGCCAGTCGAGCTCCCCAAAAAGCAAATCTCGCTCCTGCGGGACTGCATCCCCGCCTGGCTTCAAGACGCACGCGTCGCACCCCGCCGGCAAATTCTTCCGAAGTGCCCGCCACACCCGCATGGCCGTCCGCAGCACAGCCCCGGGCTGAACCCAAACGGTGCTTTTCGCTTTCGCTTTGCTTTCGTCTTCCCTCGCTTTTGCCTCCGATCCGCCCGTGCCGCAGAACGAAGCCGCAACGAAAACGGCCCACGAAGTCACCAGAAACGCCTTTCGGGTCCAGCCCCAGCAGACACCGCTCAGGTCCAAAAACACAGCTTAGGCCCAAAAACACCGTTTATCGGGAGCGGTCAAGAGGGGGGTGTCCAAGAGGGGGGGGTGCAAATCATGACCGGCGGCATGTGCGCGGCCCAAGGGAGGGCCGGGGACGTATTGAAATAAGGAGAGGCGCCATGAAATCTGCGGAAAAACCATGGCCCCCGCCATGATATCCACCCCCCCCCAGTCATCACCCCCCTCTTTGCCGCCCCCGAGTTGAGGTCCAGCCCTGCCAGCGCTCGAACCACCAGAAACGCCGCTTAGGTCCAAAAACACACCGCTTGGCCCGCGGCGCGCCGCGGCTCTGCCCCGAGGCGCCCTCGCCCGACCGGCCGCTGCACCCGCCGCAGCGCCCGGCCGGAGCGCCGCCTCGCGCCGCACGTCGGCCACTGCGCCAGCAGGAGAGAGAAGGAGACGACTGGAGGGGCCCTGGGACACACAAATGAGTGGGCACAGACATCACGGGATTCCCCACTATCTTGGTTCCCCAGACTATCTTCCCACCTCTTCTGGGTTTCTGTCTTCCCCCCCACGGCCCACAGTTTCTCGCATCTTCTGGGGAGTCGACGATTAATTGTGTCTGCGCCAGCGAGAATCGGGTGTTGCTAGAAGTGCCCCTGGCCCAAGGTGCCCCCAGCTTTCCGATCCATTCCGGAGCCCCTGGGGCCCTCTGGGCCTCGTGAGGGGCGCTCTGGGGGCCGGCTTGGGCTACCGAGAGAATCCTGGGGGCACCTTGGCCCAGGGGCACTTCTAGCAACACCCGAGAGAAAAGAAGGAGATGACTGGAGGGGGCCTGGGACACACAAATGAGTAGACACAGATAACAGGGTTCCCTACTATCTTCCCACCTCTTCTGGGTTTCTGTCTTCCCCCCCACGTCCCACAGTTTCTCGCATCTTCTGGGGAGTCGACGATTAATTGTGTCTGTGTGTGTTCTTTCCCTCCTGAATAATGGGCACCCTTTCTTGATTCCGAACACCTGCGGGTAAGAGTTCTAAATGCAGACCCCTTGGTCTCGGACCTCCAATGTCCAGTCCATGTAGATCCCTCGCACAACGCTGGTAAAATCCGATGAGATGCCGAATTTCTGCAGGGCCTGACACATGACATCCCGCGAGACGCTATCGAATGCCTTGGCCCAGCACGAGACGCCCGTATTTCCCTGCCCACGTCCTCCATCAAGCCTTGGACCAAGAAAATCACATCCGCTGAGCCATGACTACTCTTGAAATCCAGATAAGTACTGCATACCCTCTATTCTGCGCCTCCGATCTTGAATCAGGTGGTAGGAACTGCAACGAACTGATTGCACCACACTGGAACGCATGAAATCAATATGAAATCCTCGAGTTGGAAACAATTTTTGTTTTCAAAAGATACGTTCACAACCACCTCGCGCCTCCCATCGGGAAGAGCGTGGTCAAACCAACAACTGCTCCGCTCGCTTCGGATCTCGCCCTCGCCAGCAACTCTGCCTGGCCGTATTTTAGAAGCTGCCCGAACGACCTCCTCCTCCTCCTCCTCCTCCTCCTCCTCCTCCTCCTCCTCCTCCTCCTCCTCCGACAGCGACGACAGCCACTGCGACCGGTCTTCTTCGACGGATGCGCGCAACGATTCGAGCACACCGAGCTCGTCTCCGACGCCGCAGCCTGCGCGTGCGAAGCCACACTGCCGCAGGAGCTCCAGGGTGCCGTCTGAGAGCCACGGCCTCGTCGGGCGCAGCACACCCTCGCGGGGGTGCGTCCTGCGCAGGCCTGCCTGCGCGTGCGAAGCCACACTGCCGCAGGAGCTCCAGGGTGCCGTCTGAGAGCCACGGCCTCGTCGGGCGCAGCACACCCTCGCGGGGGTGCGTCCTGCGCAGGCCTGTCCGAGAATGCCGGACGTGGAGCGCACCTTCGCGGGGACGCTCCGCTCTCGCGTGGGACCCAGCGGCGGGCGCCCAGGGAGCGCCCAAGAGCTGAGCGAGGAGGTGGTCAGAGCCCTGCGAGCAGCAGCTGCTTTGCGAGACAGCAGAGATCAAGCAATTCCGCAGTGGGCGCGAATGCTGCGGCACGGGGAAGGAAAATGCGAGTATCGCACCCTGGCCAACGCACGACGAAGGAGCGCAAGTGGTAAGCAGATTTTCCTTACGACATCCTCTGCTGCCAGCCACGGGGGGATGTTTCTCGCGACTGTGGACCGAGGCAGAGCTGATCCGCTGACCATATTAAGCTTGAGCCAGATTACACTGGGCCAACTAGGCGTCATACTGTCGACCGTCGCGGGCAAGGCACTGAAAAGTGAGAAACAGGGAAGCGACGACCAGGCTGCGGATAGCCATGCCCCCGTCTTGCTTCTCACACCTGTCCTTCCGTTTCTGCTCTAAATGGAGGTGCTGCTCCTTCTCATGGTCATGCTCTCATCCCCTCCTCCCACTGCGGCGCGCGCCTGGGCGGAACCCCTGTCCTCCTTAAGCTTCTCGTTCTGCTTGGTGAGCCGCGAGACCTCACTCTCGAGGCCAACGAGCACCTCGAGGAACCTTCGAGGGGGGAGGATGTGCAAGAAGAGACAGAGGAAGGAGTGGGAGAATGGTCAAAAACGACGAAGAGGCGGAGGAGGAGCAAGCGGAGAAGGAGGAGGAGGAGGCGGGCAGGGGGGGGGAAGAGGCCAGGCAGCAAAAGGAGGTGACGCCGAGGAAGAGGAAGAGCAAGAAAACGAGAGAAGGAGCACGAAGGCTGGAGGAGGACGGCGAGGAGCTTGCAGCCCTGGACCACGAGCCTGGCCCCATGCCTTCTCGGTGCCGCCCAGGGCCGGCGCCCTCCGGAAGGCGCAACGGTCGCGGCATGCCCCCATCGTACCGCGCGCCGCGGTCAGGTCCTACCTTTAGGTCGGGCCTGTCCCCCTACAGGGGGATTTTCGACGAAAAATAAGGAGTACCCCAAAAATAATCCAAAAATATCAAAAAAATGGTATGGGGACTATTTTGTTGAATATATATTTACCTTTTTGGAGTATTTTTGGGGGGGGGATTTTTGATTTGTCGTCGACAATCCCCCTGTAAGGGGACACGCCCGACATGATCCTACCTGGCTGCCCGACAGCAGCTGCAGCTCGGCGCGTCTGGCTCGACCGAGCTCCCGTCTGTCCTGTGGGCACGGCGCCGCTGGCCGGCCCTGGCCCCAAAGGACACCCCGAGAGGCCTCCCGGACGCCTCCTGCGACGCTCCCAGAGGCCCCCCAGGAGGGCCCCAAGAGGCAAAGTTCGCTCCCTCCTCCTCCTCCTCATCCTCCTCCTCCTCCTCCTCCTCCTCCTCCTCCTCCCCCTCCTCCTCCTCCTCCTCCTCCTCCCCTCCCCCTTCTCCTCCCTCCTTTCTCCTCATCCTCCTCCTCAAGGGGAACGCCTCTGTTTCGCAGATGTACCTCTTTGGCTCTCACAGCATCCAAGGCGGCCCGAGAGCCCCCCCCAAGACTGCCCCACAGGCTCCCGAGAGGGCGCGGGGCGCGCAGCGCACCCCCCCCCCCGGGCTCAGGCCGGCCGCCGGCGCCTGCCGTGCCGCGAGGTCCGCACAGAGGCAGGCTGGCCCACTCGCACGAGCCGCTGCCTTCAGTGTTGAAGGGGCCCCAGGACAACAAATAAAAAGCTTCCCCATAGTTTCCCATATTTTCTGGGTGTCTGTCTCCCCCCCCCCCACTTCCCATATTTTTCCACATTTTCGGGGGAATCGACGATTAATTGTGTCTGTGTGTTTTTTCCCCTCCTGAAGTGTGGCTGCTCAGCGCATGGCCTGGGCGGATCAAGAGACTCGGGGCCGGGCGAACGGGGGGGAATAGCACAGGGGGGGGTTGAGAATCAGCTCACGTGGCTGACTTTCCCGGCGCCTCCTGGCGCCGCAGGCGGCCATGCATCGAGGAATGGGCCCCTCGGTGGGGCCGAAACCAGCTACATTAGTAGGGAAACGAAGAGTGGCATAAACATAAAAACTCAGAGGTCCGCGCGGATTTCTCGGATCGGCGCTGGGGCCCCCTGGCGGCGCCTGCGGCGCCGCCCCCGGCGCGCTCCGCGCGCCAGGGAGGGGTGTCCAGCGCCGATCCGAGAAAGCCGCGCGGCCCTCCGAGTTTTTATGTTTATGCCGCTGTCTGTTCCTCTAGACATGCGTCAAATTTCGCACCCCCCCCCCCTCTTTGGCGGCGCGCAAAAGGGGGTAGGGGGAGGGGGGAAGGCTTCTTAGAAGCACCCTGCTTCTTAGAAGGCCTCGGCCTTGCGTCTGTGGAGAAGGCCCGCGCCTTCTAAGAAGCAGGGGTGCTTCTAAGAAGCCTTCCCCCCTCCCCTACCTCGGGGATGGACAGACCTCCCTTTAGCAAAACGTGGTTTAGTGAAAACGACTTCGGGCCCAAACCTGGCGGGCGCAAGCCTGGAAAATAACGGCCACGGCGCCCTCTCGAAAACCGAAAACGGACAATTCACTAATCGACGTGTCACTATTGGGGGTTCTGTCCACCCCCGACTACCCCCCTCTGCGCGCCGCCAACCTCTCCCTGTCCCCCCCTCTCGTCCGGCCCGAGAGACGCAGACGGCTGGCGCAGAGGCTGACCGCCTCGCGCTCGTCCCTGCCGGTGCGCGGCGCCCCGGGGAGGCGGCCGCCGGGCCCGGGGCTTCGGCTGGCCGCGCCGCTCGCTCGAACGAGTCGGGCAGTCTGCCGAGGGCAGCTGGCCTCCTTCGGGTCGGGCCTGTCCCCCTACAGGGGAATTTCGGACGAGAAGCAAAAAATGCCCCAAAAATACTGCACAAAAATGCTCAGACCTGGTCCAAAAATGGTCCCCGGACTATGTTTTGCATATGTTTGGATATTCCTCCTGTAGAGGGACAGGCCCGACTCAAATCTGGCCCTTCGAGGTCCGCCTCGAAGTCGGCAAGTATCTCGTGGCGGCAAGATCAGCCATCGTGATCTGCTCAATGGCGGGCAGTGCCTGAGCTTCCAGCATCGCCGCGGATGCTGATCATGCCCCGGGTGCTGTCGTCGCGCCGTCCGCGGCAAGTCCAGCACCCGTCCCTCGTCGCCGGCATCACTGGCCCCGAAAGCTGGCTGGCCTCAAAGCACTGCATCTTGATATGGCACCACGCCACTGGGAGTGCCACCGCGCGCGGTCCAGCCGATCCTGGGTTGCCCAGCCTCGCGGCCTGACACACTGCCACCGTCGCAGGCAGACGGCCTCCACAATGACGTCCCGCATTCCGAGTGGATGCTCGATCGCCCTAGTAGCAGCACCGCCAGCCAAGCTCTACAGCTGAGCGTCTTTTTTTCAATTCGGCGTTTCGACATTGAGCGGAAAGGGGGGGGAGGAGCGGGGGTCTGGCTCCAGACCTCTGCTTAGTGAGACCGTTTGCAAGGGTGCTGCCTCTGGGGGAGACTCCACCCGCTCGAAACGGGCGCCAAAGAGCAGCCAAGATCTACTCCAGGGAAGGGGGGGGGGACGGGGGGCCCGCGCCGATCGGCAAAACAAGAAATACGACAACGAGCACGTGTCCCAGCGCTTCGCATCGAGTGATCTCGGGGCCGCGTCCGCGGGCAACCGTCGGGAGCCTCCCAGGACGCCCGGAGGCCTCCGGGGCGCCCCCCTGGCCCCTGGACGGGATGGCAGGGGCACGCGAGGCGCAAGAATGGAGGAGGACGAGGAGGAGGAGGAGGAGGAGGAGGAGGAGGAGGGATAGGAGGAGGAAAGGAGGAGGAGGAGGAGGGGAGGGGGGAGGGAGGCGGAGGGGGGGGGGGGAAAAGGAGGGAGGAGGTAGGGAGGAGGAGGAGGAGGAGGAGGAGGAGGAGAGGAGGGGAAGGAGAGAGGAGGGGGAGGAGGAGGAAGGAGAGGATAGGATGAGGATGGGAGGGGAGGATATGAGGAGATTAGAGGAGGAGGAAGGAGGAGGAGGAGGAGGCGGGATCGCGCGTGGCCTCTGGCGCCTCGGCCGCTCGCCGCGCCGCAGGAGCACGGCGGCGGCGCGCACCGCCAGCAGGAGAACTGCTCAAGTGAGGCTGTCGAGCACAGGAACGCCCCTGCCTCCAGCTGTGACAACCTGCATCCTCCTCCTCCTCCGCCTCCTCCTCCTCCTCCTCCTCCTCCTCCTCCTCCTCCTCCTCCTCCTCCTCCTCTTCCTCTTCTTGTTGCTGCTGCGAAGGGCTGAAGTAGGCGATGTCTGTAGCCGTGCACACCTTCCCTGCCCCTCCCACCCGGCAAGGACCTGGGTAGGAGGGGGGGCTCATTGGGAAAATGGTGAGAAAAAAAGAAAAAGGTCCGACAATCCTCTTCCTGCCCTCGCTCCTCCATCCACCCCCCCGCCCCATCCCTCTAGGACCTCTCAGACCCCCGCCACGTCATCGCTGCTCTTCTCGGCTTCTGCCTCGTCCCCAAGATCCTTCATCCTCTGTCGATATCTCTCCTACCTTCGCGTCTCCTCCAGCTTTCCGCCTCCATCCTCTCTCTGTTTCTCTCTGTCTCTCCCTCTCTCTCTCTCTCTCTCTCTGTCCGTCTTGCCCTCTCCGACCCCCTGGAGCTCCAGTTCCCGCGAGTGTGTTGTCTCACTTCCCTTGTCCATCCCCCCTCCTCTGCTCACCTTCCATGTTCTCACCCCTTCCACACTTACATCCCTGTGCATGTTCCTCCTCCTGCTCCTCCTCTCTTCGCGTTCCCCCGTTCCTCCTCCTCCCTCCTCCTCCTCCTCCTCCGCCTCCTCCTCCTCCTCCTCCTCCTCCTCCTCCTCCTCCTCCTCCTCCGCCTCCTCCTCCTCCTCCTCCTCCTCCTCCTCCTCCTCCTCCTC